CATCCTGGTAGACAGGAAATTGTCCATGAGCCAGCAATGTGCCCTTGTCACCAAAAAGGCCAATGGTATCCTGGGCTGCATAGGGAAGAGTGTGACCAGTAGGTCGAGGGAGGTCATTCTCCCCCTCTACTCGGCACTGGTGAGGCCACAACTGGAATACTGCGTCCAGATTTGGGCTCCCCAGTTCAGGAGGGACAGGGAACTGCCGGAGAGTCCAGCGAAGGGCAACCAAGATGATTGAGGGATTGGAGCATCTCCCTTACGAGGAAAGGCTGAGAGAGCTGGGACTCTTTAGCCTGGAGAAGAGAAGGCTGAGGGTAGCACTTATTATTGCTTATAAATATCTAGCGGGGGGGGTGAAGGAGGATGGAGCCAGACTCTTCTCAGTGGTTCCCAGTGACAAGACGAGGGGCAATGGGCACAAGTTGGAACATAGGAAGTTCCGTTCAAATACATGGAAAAACTTCTTTACGGTTCGGGTGACAGAGCAGTGGCACAGGCTGCCCAGGGAGGTTGTGGAGTCCCCTTCTCTGGAGATTTTCAAAACCCGCCTGGATGCAGTCCTGAGTAATGCGCTCTAGGCAAACCTGCTTTAGCAGGGGAGTTGGACTAGATGATCTCTAGAGGTCCCTTCCAACTCTGAAAATTCTGTGAATCCCACTGAAATTACTAACAAGGCTGATAATTTTAAGAGTTAAGATTGCCTAGCAGGTAATACCACTACTTAAAATAATCAAAAGTTAAATGTTTCAAAAGCTAACTAGGAGAAGTAACTTAAAGGGCTTAAAGGATGATCACCATCACTTCTGTGCTTAAGAAGCAGATAAAAATAAAAACAAAATAATTTTCGTCGAACACTGGAAAAAAACCCAAAGGAGCTACTAGAAACCAACCTGATTAGAGGCATTTTGTATATTTTGGCAGTTACTGACTCTTTCCAGCTTCAGAATATTGAAAACTGAAGTAGCTCTAGGAGGTGCAATTAAGGAAAATTTAACTGCATTATTTGGTAACCAGACTCTACAAGGAATCCCTTCTGGGAGGTTATCAGTACAAGTTAAAAACAAAACAAAACAACCCAACCAAAAAAAAAAAAACCCACCACACTTTAAAAGTTAAGACACATTTTTAATTCGTAACATACACTCCCCCCGACCACACACACGGTATGGAAGTCCGCTGCTGGAAAATGCCACCTGAGGCGGGTGCTGAACTCCTGGTGCCAGCACCGCACCAGGTGTAAGATTGACACAAACAGTGTTTATGAAACTCATTTTACTTTATCAAAGGAGCAGGAAAAATTGACAGATTAAATAAAGGGGTATCGGGCAGACGAGTCTAAAGAAACAGATGCATCTCATCACAGCGTGAAGAAATGGTTAGAGACCAGAGCGATGAGCAGCTCTCAGGCACGGCCACCCAGGGCTTCAGGAGAAGTGACTAGGCAAGGCAGTATTACACTGCACGACAGCCTTCCTTACCTTCTCCTTTCACAGCTGTATTAAAATTGCAATTCAAACACACTGCCGCTACCCTGCGCACACCGATTCTTCTCCACAGTCGTGTTCTCCTCGCTCTGCTGCAGCACTGGATGGGAAGAGGGGAGCGAGAGGCGCTGCCGAAGTCAGAAGCGAACAGGACAAGTCTTGAACCAATAAACCCAGTAGCTGGTACATGTTCTTCCCTTTAAAACGGAATCAGATTGTTGTAAGAGAACAGTGTCACGTAGTCCAGTTCAAGTCAACGTAATGTTTAATTAAGGATTAATTGTGGTCCGAAGATCAAAGGTGAAGATCAAAGGCATCACTTTCACTACAAAGATGGGTCTATCTGAATTTTTTCATCTTCACTGCGGTAATCATTTTGCATACACATGCATGCAAGTATTCTGAACGCTATTTAATACTTAATAGTTCTCCTCCCCACTGGTCACATGATTTTCATCATCTCGCACTTTCAAGCAGAAGCACAAACACTTATTTCTCAGATCTTGGTATGAAAAAATTTATTAGCCTATATAATCTAAAATAACACAGTCAAAAGGACAGGGGATCAAGACAGCACTACAAAAAATAGTTGAAAATTAATTCTTGTACCCTGCATTTTAGCAATGTACTAGGGATAGCTCCGTAAGCCTGAAGAACTAGTTCTAACTAAAACTATTTAGCACAGACACAAGAACTAGAGATTCCTTGTAATTAAACAGTATAAACAATTCTGCGTTAGCACATCAAAACTTACAGGTGAGCTAAGGTATTTCAAAAGGCCAACATAAAAACCACATCTGTCACAGAAACCTTCACCACAGGAAAATGTGTTTCACAGCACTACATTTGCTAGAAACCAGATGCAGCCTTTTTACTATCATTGCAAATTTTTTTTTTTCCCGATACAAAAGCTGAGTAAAAGCAACTAAAGAAA